GGTGTATATAGGTAAAATAACTCAGTGATATAAGTTTTGATAAGAGATAAATTTTGATGAGAGATAGGTTTTGATAAGAGTTTGTAATTCAGTTTCCTAATTTGAAACTTTAGAAGGAAATTGGTAGTGGTATTTCTTCTTTTTTCTTTTTGAAAGTTTGCTTCATCTTAGCTCGCTGAACATGAACGAAAACGTTTGGAGGATTTTATCTACTTTCAAAATATTATCGAACGATTCGGTAAAGCGGAAGTCAAGGATGTCTTCTTAAGTGGCACGGATAATAAAGCGGTAAATTTGGATATATCCATATTCCTTGTACTAGTTTTCGTCCACTTAAATAGTCTCAAAATTTGCGGGTAACAGTATTTTTTTTTAACCTCATTCCATGTCAGTGTGTTCTGAAATCTAACGACGATATGCAAATTTCCGTTTAGTAAATCCTCATTTCATTAATGCTTTTGTTTCAGAAGATTACCGAAGAGGAGTGTAAATTGATTGAAGGTTTGTCGGAGCCATTCGGCTTGAAATGCGGTGAGTCGGATACCCTTATGGATTTCAAGAACAAATGCACGGACGGCTCGATGTTAGCGTATAGGATTCTTGTAGGAAGCAAAGAAAAAGTTGTGGATGATTTCTCAGGTAATAATCTCTTCATTTCTATCTTAATTGTGGATATGTTTCAGTTTATAAATTATGTTCAGTAATACTACCTACTTGTAAAACTGGTCTCCAGCCATTGCCCCTTTACTTTTTGTATTTTTAGGAATTCAAATTAGGGAATTATTAGAGAAAATTGCAAATTGCGAACATATGCTTCACGGTGCTAAAGAGGAAGATCAGTTTATTAAGTCTAGTGAGTCTGCATTGGAATCCGAAATTGAACAACCGAAGAAAGATCCAAAGGTAACGTTTGCAATCTCCTCTGGTTTCTTGAAATCGTCTTTTGCTGTAGGACAGCGCACCATATTAATGATGCAGTGCAGTTACATGTAATTATTCGATGAAATAATGCTTTGCAAATTTCTTTATTTGCGGAAATTTAGTTTTATTCAAAGCTAACGATTTTTCCAGGTAGTTTTTGTACATGTTACCAATGGGTCAGTGGAGAACTATGCAGAAGGCGATATGAATCAGGCAGGTGACACGGAGTTTGGTTTTGAGGGTGGTATTGATCCGAAAGCGCTTATACGTGATCCACCACCACCAATTCCTTTTCCAGTTACAGTTGTCCCAGAAGATCCTACAAATACCATCAATGGCTCTAATCATAATGGTGTGTGGCGTACTGGTAAGCATACTTTCAGTAGTAATTATCACCTTTACTAATCTCCCCATTTCCTTGTGAAAAGGGTTGCTGTGCGGTGAAAGAAAGAGGTTTTT